AACTTCACTAACTACATGAATATCCTTTTTTTTTGCTTCATCAGTTACTTAAAGGGCTTCATTAGTTTGATATTGGTTCTCAATGAATATGACTAAACATAATATTCAAATCACATGAATACAGAGTCAAAAATCTCGCCGTGAGGAGCTTCGTATCCATATTGCAAATATTTTTCGTACTGTTGCTGAAAATGTATGGCCTGGCATGCTGGCCCGTAAACCAGTTTTCCGTCTCCACTATCTGAAGTTCATTGATGAGACAACCAGACAGATCTTAACAGCACCTGCTGAAAACTTCCAAGATATGCAGCCTCTCCGTTTTGCACTTGCTTCTGTTCTAAGATCACTAGCCCCGGAATTTGTTGAGTCAAAATCGGAGAAATTTGATATTAGAACTAGAAAGCGACTGTTTGATCTGCTTCTCTCCTGGTGTGATGACACGGGCAGTACATGGGGTCAAGAAGGTGTTAGTGATTACCGACGTGAAGTAGAACGTTATAAGTCTTCTCAGAATGCACGGTCAAAAGATTCTGTGGACAAAATATCATTTGATAAAGAACTTAGCGAACAGGTTGAGGCAATCCAGTGGGCCTCCATGAATGCTATGGCTTCACTCTTATACGGGCCTTGCTTTGATGATAATGCGAGGAAGATGAGTGGCCGGGTTATATCTTGGATCAACAGTTTGTTCATTGAGCCAGCGCCTAGGGCTCCATTTGGGTACTCACCAGCTGACCCAAGAACTCCCTCTTATTCAAAGTACACAGGAGAAGGTGGTCGTGGGACTGCTGGTCGTGATAGGCATAAGGGTGGTCATCATCGTGTTTCTTTAGCAAAACTGGCTTTGAAGAATCTATTACAAACAAATTTGGACCTGTTTCCTGCTTGTATTGATCAGGTACTCATGTTTCCTTTGCTCTATTCCTATTCAATTATCGTTAGATCTTTTCAAGTAAGAAAATCCAGTTATGGAGTGCACCCCTGAAGGCTGATTAGCCTATGCTAGGCAGAGTCCGTTGGCCTATAGCTCCTTTTATCCTTCCCACTTAAGAATTTTATAATTTGATTCACTTTTTTTTTTTTTTTACTACGCAAGATAATTGATGAATTGTTAATTCATTAGTAAATCTATCGTATTTTCAGATGATACCTTGACAATCAACAAGGTAATTCTGACTTCCTAAAAAGTAAACTGGTGATTCAAAAACTGAGAATCCACTGAATGCTTTGCAAGTCAGTTGGTTTCAATAAAATGTCAAATTTCGGCTCTTCTTTTTTGCTGAAAAAGTCCACATACACGCTCTCTGGTCTTCACTTGCATGTTCACTGCTTTCTGAATTGCTAGGTTGGTATGCAGTTTTCATTCTAATTTGTTGTGAACTTAATGTTATAGCTCATAAGGATTTTATTCTTATAAATAAATAAAAAATTGATACTTTGTTGCAGTGCTATTACTCCGATGCTGCTATAGCTGATGGTTACTTCAGTGTGCTAGCTGAGGTCTACATGCGCCAAGAGATACCAAAATGTGAAATCCAGAGACTTTTGAGCCTGATTCTCTACAAGGTGGTAGATCCATCAAGACAAATCCGTGATGATGCTCTTCAGATGCTTGAGACACTTTCTGTTCGCGAGTGGGCTGAAGATGGCATTGAGAGCTCAGGGAATTATCGGGCTGCTGTTGTGGGTAACCTTCCTGATTCTTACCAACAATTCCAATACAAGCTCTCGTGCAAGCTTGCCAAAGACCATCCTGAGTTGAGCCAGCTCCTGTGTGAGGAGATTATGCAGAGGCAACTTGATGCGGTTGATATTATTGCACAGCATCAGGTCTTAACATGCATGGCTCCTTGGATTGAGAACCTAAATTTCTGGAAACTCAAGGACTCAGGTTGGAGTGAAAGACTACTAAAAAGCCTTTACTATGTGACGTGGCGGCATGGTGACCACTTCCCTGATGAAATTGAGAAGCTTTGGAGCACAATTGCTAGCAAACCCAGGAACATTAGTCCTGTTTTAGATTTTTTGATCACGAAAGGGATAGAGGACTGTGATTCAAATGCATCTGCAGAAATAAGTGGTGCATTTGCTACATATTTCTCTGTTGCAAAGCGAGTAAGTTTATACTTAGCACGGGTATGTCCTCAGCGTACAATTGACCACCTGGTTTACCAGTTAGCTCAGCGGATGCTGGAGGATAGCATGGATCCAATTGGGCCAACTGCAAATAAGGTTGATGCTAATGGAAATTTTGTGCTAGAATTCTCTCAAGGGCCTGCAGTGCCCCAAATTGCATCACTTGTGGACATCCAGCCACACATGTCACCATTACTTGTCCGGGGTTCCTTTGATGGTCCATTAAGAAATGCAAGTGGAAGCCTAAGCTGGCGAACAGCAGGTGTGACAGGCCGAAGTGTCTCGGGTCCAATAGGCCCAATGCCTCCTGAGTTGAACATTGTTCCTGGAAACACAGGCCGATCAGGGCAGCTCCTTCCAGCACTGGTAAATATGTCGGGGCCTTTAATGGGGGTCAGAAGTTCAACAGGAAGCTTGCGGAGTCGCCATGTTTCCCGGGACAGTGGAGACTACCTTATTGATACTCCAAACTCGGGTGAAGATGGGTTGCACTCTGGGGTTTCCATGCATGGGATTAGTGCTAAAGAACTTCAGTCAGCCTTGCAGGGTCATCAGCAACATTCGCTGACTCATGCAGATATAGCATTGATTCTACTTGCAGAAATTGCATATGAAAATGATGAAGATTTTCGCGAGCACTTGCCTCTTCTATTTCATGTTACATTTGTTTCGATGGATAGTTCGGAAGACATTGTGCTGGAACACTGCCAGCATCTGCTCGTTAATCTACTGTACTCTCTTGCAGGACGGCACTTGGAACTGTATGAGGTTGAAAATAGTGATGGAGAGAACAAGCAGCAGGTTGTCAGCCTGATCAAGTATGTCCAGTCAAAGCGAGGAAGTATGATGTGGGAAAATGAGGACCCAACAGTTGTGAGATCTGAGCTTCCAAGTGCAGCATTGTTGTCTGCACTAGTTCAGAGCATGGTGGATGCTATCTTCTTCCAAGGAGATCTTCGTGAGACTTGGGGAGCAGAGGCACTCAAATGGGCAATGGAGTGCACATCGAGACACCTAGCCTGCCGCTCACATCAGATTTACCGTGCGTTGCGGCCTAGTGTCACAAGTGATACATGTGTGCTGCTTCTCCGGTGCCTTCATAGATGCCTAGGAAATCCAGTACCTCCAGTTTTAGGATTCATTATGGAAATTTTGCTGACATTGCAAGTGATGGTGGAGAACATGGAACCAGAAAAAGTGATACTGTACCCACAACTCTTTTGGGGGTGTGTAGCTATGATGCACACAGATTTTGTTCATGTCTACTGTCAAGTGCTTGAACTCTTCTCACGTGTGATTGACCGGTTATCATTCCGGGACAGAACAACAGAAAATGTGCTTCTTTCGAGCATGCCTCGGGATGAGTTTGATGCTAATAATGACATTGGGGACTTCCAACGAATGGAAACCAGGAGTGGCTATGAACAGCCTCCATCTGGAGGAAATCTGCCAACATTTGAAGGGGTGCAGCCTCTTGTTCTTAAAGGACTCATGTCAACAGTTAGTCATGGTGTTTCTATTGAAGTTCTCTCGCGGATCACAGTGCACTCATGTGACTCTATATTTGGAGATGCGGAGACAAGACTCTTGATGCACATCACAGGCTTACTTCCCTGGCTCTGCTTGCAGCTTAGCAAGGATCCAGTGATGGGGCCTGCTTCGCCTCTCCAACAGCAGTTCCAGAAAGCTTGCTCTGTTGCGGCCAACATCTCAATTTGGTGTAGAGCAAAGTCATTAGATGAATTGGCTACTGTATTTATGATTTACTCTCGTGGTGATATCAAGAGTATCAACAATCTCCTTGCTTGTGTCTCCCCGCTCTTATGCAATGAGTGGTTCCCAAAGCACTCAGCATTAGCTTTTGGGCACTTATTACGACTACTGGAGAAAGGGCCAGTTGAGTATCAGCGTGTGATACTGCTCATGCTTAAGGCATTGCTCCAGCACACTCCCATGGATGCTGCCCAAAGTCCACACATGTATGCGATTGTGTCCCAGTTGGTAGAGAGCACTTTGTGCTGGGAGGCACTGAGTGTGTTAGAAGCTCTTCTGCAGAGCTGTAGCTCAGTGCCAGGTTCTCACCCTCATGAACCTGGTTCGTTTGAGAACGGGATAGGCGGTGGTGATGAGAAGATGCTAGCTCCTCAGACCTCATTTAAGGCTCGCAGTGGGCCGCTACAGTATGGTATGGCATCCCCATTTGCCACAGGTTCAACACCTGCACACGGGAGCTCAACTGAATCTGGAACTTCACCTAGAGAAGTGGCTTTGCAAAACACACGGCTTATCCTTGGGCGGGTTCTTCACAGCTGTGCACTAGGGAAGAGAAGGGATTACAAAAGGCTGGTGCCTTTCGTGACCAGTATCGGCAACCCATAACGTACACACATGTGCAGGCTGTATCTTTTCTTTCTAAGATATTTAATGTATATTAGTGGATGGATGATGATGCGCGGGCCATAGAAGAAAGTTTTACTGGATTTGTATATAGTAGTGCTTTGTGAAGCTAGTGGTGGTGTAATATACTTTGTACAGTCAAATCATTTAGAGGGCCTTCTATGAAGAATAATCTTAAATCCACATTTTTGCCAATCTTTTAATTGTTTGCTGCACTCGATTTCAAATCCCTTGAATTTAATGTTGGCTACCTGTTGTCAAATTCCCAATGTAACCAGTTCTAAGGGTTTTACTTAATCAGTTGCAATCTATCAGTTTAATATTGTCTTTGCAAGTGTGTCAAATGGCACTCATTTGCATTGGTGATAAAGCGTCCACAAGAAAGTGAATACCTTCTAGCTTCCTATTTTTCATCATAAACAAACACGAAAACAAATAACCAAATAGACAATAGGGGGGAAAACGAATTGTGCAAAGAAAATTGCATGACAAATTTATAATACATATTTGTATTTCTCAAAGCTCACTTCATTTTGGTACAAAAAAGAGTTCAATGTGAAGAACAATGTAATACAACACACGTGCGGAGGGGAGTGAATTCCATTGCCCGCTTCTTGCACTAAGCAAACTAACATTTTATACATTGTGCAGAGTGTTCCTTTATTTTTTATTGAACGCTCTCAGAAAACCCTGGTTTTCTAATACAGTTTGGATCCAGCCAGTTGGTCTTCACTAAAAACATGAGCACCTTCCGGCATGTCCTCACATCGGATATCATTCACGCCGTGATGAATTCTTGAACAAGGCATAGGCATCACTATATATGGCCACCACGTTTGAGAACACAGCTAGTACAATCATAAAAACACTCAAGATCTTGTCCTTCTTAGTGGCTATGTTGTGTCGATCCCTGACATACCAAGGAAAAAGAGATGAATAGTAATTCCAAGTATATTCACAAAACTGACCTAGCTATGGGAAGAACCCAGTAAATAATATCCCTATCCTTTCATGTTTATGAGATAAGAAGGCAGCATACGCATAAAATCTGTGAGATATGATAACCTTAAGTCCTAGGCTATTCTCTGCAATCTACTATTTTCCAAATTGGAAAAAGAAAACAATTGGTTATCAAAGTAAATAAAAACCTGAACTAATAGATAGTTCTTGTGATCAAGTCAAAAACTCACTTGAGAGTAATTGCAGCAGGAAAAATGAACCCAAGGCAAACTGCAGCAGTTGCTCCAGTGAACTGGAAAGCATCCCAGATGCTGGGGATAAAGTTTGCACCCAAGAAGATGACACTTATGAGCCCAATGGTGACCAGTGCAAATCTCATATTATCCAGAAGCATAAGGTGAGCAGCATAGCTGACACGAACAGCATCATTGAGAACGGAACTGTAAGGTAAGCCAAGGTTGGTGTCAAAGTTGGCAAGCACATCGTCAAGAGTTCCGTCCCCAAATAGGAGGAACCCAAAAAGGCTTGTCATTATGTAAACAGATGAGCATAAAGCAAGTGAGGTTTGCACAACCCCTCTTATCTGCGTCGAGTCTTCAAGTTCATTGTGGATACTGTGCACTGCAGATGAATTGATCAGGAAGATTATTACTCAACACATAAGTGTTTGCAATTAAAAGGTGAAAAACATTTCAAATATGAGATCTCCCACATTCAACCAACAGTCCCATTTCTATAGTTTCAAGTGTGCATTATGCCAAAATGTTAATTTTAAATCATTTTTAAGTATCACTGGGTGGTGGTATGGAAAAGTACAAGGCCAGGATGATAAAAGGATCAAGATGTGTCAAAATACCAAATTTTGTATGACTAAAGATGTCACGGTTTTAATTTTAAACAAAAAATAGAGAACATATTTTAACATGATTTAGTTAAAAAATTAAGTAAACATTTTCAATGATAAGAATACAGGAATCTGGTGGATGGAGGGGTACGTAAACCCATTCAATTCAATTCTGACATCGAAATCTGACATGCTACTGCTCAAAGTTTGCTTCAAATTTATGTTTTGCTAAATAGTGATTCATTTAACAGGGGAAAAGGGAAGAAAGGAACTGAAGCGCAAACATACAAATCCACCAAAAATTTCTCATTCTTATATTGCAGAAACATGGACCAAGTTCTAGGCAAATGAACTCTATGTAAGTGAACAAACAAACAGTTTCCATACCATTGTAGTGACAAATGTATGCAGTGACAAGAACAGGGACTACAGTGAAGAGTTTGAAGAATGATGAAACGTCGGTAACATCAGGTAACAATCTGGGCATCGCAATGCTTCCATTGAACAACTTGAAGACCGTAATTCCAACAGTAATAACAAGAAATACAACTGCTAGTGCAACTGATAAGGCAGACGTGAAGCTCAATGAATCTGCAACCACAATAGGCCTATTAAGATCACCGAAACATTATATTCCAAATGGAAAAATAAAGAATAAGGTCTTAACAAATAATAGGCTCAAATTCAATAAAGCTATAAAATTTAATAATAAATCACCACTCCACCAACAACTTAAGTCAAAAGCTACAGAATGATTCTTGACCAAATCACTGTATGCAAGTGAAAGTGACAAGAGTGAAAACTGAATAGGGAAGGGCACATGTTTAAACAAGAGGGTTCTCATATAAATCTGCTAAACATATGTTACCTTAACCAAATCACTCTATGTGAGTGAGTGATAGCAGTGCACCAAACAATGCCTTCAAACATGAAAAAATAAAGAAAGACTAACCAATTCGCTTAAAGCATGACAATGGAGCAAATATGCCAAGTGTGGTTACAAGAAGAATAATGGCCCGCCCAGTCCACCAGTGTTCTCCAAACCATCCTTCAAGTACACCAGCGTGGTGAACACCACTTGAAGATGTTCCAGAGAGCACATCACCTTCATTTAAGTAATACAAAGATTGTTAGACAAATTCAGACCTTTCCCTATGACAAGCCTGAGCAGATCTCTAGGCCAACAAAAATATTCACCAGAGAGATCAAAATGACAAAATTGTAACAGAGTAAATACAATACAATATTATAGAGCGAAAGACATACCAATAATAATCATGTAGACAATGAGCACGCCAAGGTTGTTGACTAGAACAGATATCTGCAACAAAACCTTCCCATATTTTCCAAAGGCCTCCCCCATAAGACCTCCATAAGAAGCAGACTTCCCAGCTCGGCTGAACCTAAGTATCAATTCAATTGAAGCTTCGGTCAAGAAGGCCATAAAGATGATCATGGAAATTCCAAGGACAAGGCCCAACACTTTCATGGTTGCAGGCAAAGCCATGATCCCGGCACCAACAATTGTGGTTGATAAATTGAACACTGCTCCCGTAAAGGAAGCTCCATTAAACTCATCAAACACAACATCCTCTTGCCCTTTGGGCAACAAGGGGGCATTCTCATCAATAACTCCTTTGCTCTTTCTTGACTTCTTTTCCTTCTTCGGTGCAAGATTTCCAATCGTCATCTTGTGATATCTTAAAAATCTTCAAAACAAAGGTTTAAAGCTTATGGAAAATCTATAAAGCAGCTCAACCACCTACAAATATTTGCTTCAATAAAAATTTTGTCCAACGGTCAAATTATATACTCTTTTTTTTCAGATTGAGGATAAGGGGAAGAGCAAACACAAGCTAGATGAAGAGGATTTTCAGACACAATGACCCAAACAGCCAAAAATTCACAAATATTGAATTCTTGCTGAGAATACAAAGGTTGGTCCTTTGCAAATGCTACCAAATTGATTGTGAAATGAATGCACAATTCTTTTTGGGGCAGACAAAATCCAAATGAAAATAAAATCCCAGGAGCAAAACTATCAAAATTTACCTTTAGCAAAAACAAAGAAAGTATCAGAATTGAATTGAATTGAAAACACAAGTAATTCTTCAATATATCACAGTTGAAGGTGGATCTTTACAATCATTAGCTAGACTTTCAATATCAACAAGGGGAGGAAACCCAAACCCAATTTCCCAGATAGCAAACTTGAGAAAACCCAGTTCTCCCTCTTCAAAGAAAAGCACCCAAAACCTAACCAATCAAACCCCAGAATTCAAGGTCAATGATTCAGCAGACCCAAAGCAAGAAACGCGACTGAATTCTTCAGTTAAAGGTTTGATTTTTATAGCCAACCAAAATTCAAGGAAAGAGAAATACACACGCCAATAAAGCTTGATATTGAATAACAATAATGGATGTGGAGACAAAGACTGGAATTTAATAATGTTAAGTTGTTTTCTTTTTCTTTTGGTGTCTGTGGAATTATTGTGGATTGGCGAAATGAAATTGACAATGAAAACCCTAATCCACAAAATTCCACAAACTGTAAAATTTGTCGCTTTTGGTGTGAAAGTTACGGACTTTATAAGAGTAGAAGGAAAGACGTCCGCAGATGTCTACGTCAAAAGAGGAAGCTTCGCAATTGGATAATAAATTGGCTATTAATTAACAATTTACTGCCATTGCTCTGTTCATCAGCTTTCTAATTTTTTTTTCCCATATAAGTTTTTCTAGGCATACTCTTTTAAGTAACAAATCTATTTTTCTATATAAAAAAATCTATTTAAAAATACAATTATGACGGGTTAAACTTTGATGAGTGAGAAAATTATATGGATAAGTTGAAGAACATGAACAAAAATAGAAGCCTGTAAATGATTTGATGAGTGAGAAAATTAGATGGATAAGATGAACAAAAATAGAAGGCTATAAATGATTTGGGAGTAATTAATTTTCCGGAAATGTCACGTGGGAAAAAGAAAATATCTTAGAAGGTTCAGATATTTGAACAAAAAAAAAAAAGTTCACGTAAGATTATTAGGGTTTGTTACACCATTTTGGGGATTTCCAAAGTAAGAATTTGTGTTTTCTTATTGGTAAGTTTGTATGATTTTAGTGTAATGGTTCAACTACCTAACCTAGGATATTAACATATAGGCCTAGGAGAAATTTACTATTATGCTAATAGTGTTTTCTTTGTAAAGATTGGAGCAAATGTGAGCCACAAATTATAAAATGTTAGAGTTGATGTCATCCAAGGTGTAAAGATGAAATTGATTAACCTATGCATGATTCTAATCTAATCTATAGGAACCTTAAGCCACAACCAACAAAACATGACATCAAAATTATGTGCTTATATAGGAGTTACACACGTATGTGAGATAAATTATTCGATGCGATGATAATACGTTATGCTATACTGATAAAGTATTTTATAAGTTTAAAATTTAAACTCGAAACTTATTATAATTTAAGCAAATATGTAAGATCATGAGCGGAACTAGGTAGAGGGCTACCATGGGCTCTAGCCCAGGTAGCCTTTTATAAAATTAAAATATATTACATATAGTTTAATATTATGCATCACATAAAAACTTAGTAGCTCACTCAAATGTAGTTTTGTAACCCACTGTCCACTCAATTTTTGTGGGCATATAATCATGTTATATTTAATTTGTTTGCTCAATTAATAAAATAATCTCTTAATAAACACATGATTTTAACTCTCAACCTTTTACTATTTATCCTAATCTGTACTTTAATATATTTCTAGAAAAATTATAGAAACAGTAAGTACCCAAACAAAAATTGGTCCTTAGATTTTAAGCTATAACAACTTTAACTAGCCCACCCATTGAAAAATTCCTAGTTTCGCCCTTATGTAAGATCACATAACTATTGTTATATCAAATAATTTCGGGTGATGTGAGTGTGAATCATTATTGTCATTAAGAATTAGTTATAATGTTGCAAATCAAGTCAATGGTTGATTTCATCACTAAAATTAAAAGCCACACATCATCAATGACAAAGATCAGGGAACATAGAAATTGTGATGCAGTGTTTCCAACAAGAAGTGTCATTTCAATTTGGAAATCTCATGTATGTGGCCTGCCAGTGCCAGTGTTAGTGAAACCATGTTTTAGGCTCCCAAAAATAACCCACCTTTTACACAAATTTTACCAACTTAACCACAGATATTAGACAATGATGACAATGGTAACCCACCAACCAAACACTACATTTAAAAATAAAATAAAAAGACCAATAGGTTAATAAAGCTAATATAATATAATCATGTGGTGGTGGTTGCAACAGGTGTAAAATTTGCTGATGCAGCAAGTACAAGGAATCTTTAGGTACTTCCCCTTCCTCTTCTTTCTCACATCAGCTAATCTGTGATTAGTGAGCAAGATTAACAAAAAAAGAAAAAAATTAAGAAATTGTGGACAGAATTAGATTGCAAATCTATTCGCTTGGTACAGTTCAATATTACAAAAAAATCCATTAATATATTATATGGGTTGGATTTTAGGAAGTGGGCCCATGAGCCCAATATTCCACCAACTGGATGGCCCACCATTTTCATCATGGGACACGGTGACTCGAAGATTAGAATGTGACTCAGAAAGATTGATTGATATTAATATCAATAGATTAATAAAAAGGAGCGGTGCATAATTTTTCACTCACATTTTTTAATCAATCAGACTCTCACTCTCTGTTAAATTTTAGTGAATATTTTATATTGATCTTGCGCATGTCGATGTACATACACGTCAGCATGGCCGCTAAATTGAACCAAATTGTTTTAAATTAGTTTGGTTTGATTTGTCAAAACCGAACTAAATCTTTATATTGTAATTGGTTTGGCTGTAGTTTTAGGGTGAAATCGATGCAATCCGAAACATGGCCACCCCTACACGTGAGCTTGACCACCATGGTCTATAAAAAAATATGCAATTGCAACAGGCTAATAACTCAAGTGGTTGAAAGTAATAATGTCTATACTAGAAGTTTAGTGTTCGAATTCCTATTCGCCCAATATTCTTGTATTAGAAAAAAAAAACAGCAATTAGTTTTTTTTGTGGGTAAAAAGGTCATATACCAATTATCTATATATATAAAGTAAAATGCAAAGAATGGTAAAATATTCCAAATACAAAAAAAAATTATTGATTAATGCAAACATTAAAAATTGAAATTATTAATTAAATAAGGATAATATGGTAAATTCACACTTTTTCATATTAAAGAAAATTAAAATGAAAAGAAAAATAAGATAATGAATCCTATTTTTATGGAACACAACTAACTATTATCTTTTCTAATTTTAAAATAAAATTTTTATTTTTATTTTAAAAAAAAGCCTCTAACAGGCTGAGCGGAAGAGTGAGCGGAGAAACTAGTAAATAAATAAATAAATAACAGTTTTGGGCTGATCAACGTTGTTTTATTAGGCAGAAATTTTGGGTTTTGGTGGGCCCAAGACCATAGTTTCAATATCCACCGACTCAAATTGGGCCCAAAACAACAAGCGCGCAACACGTATCATGCAAAATGCAAAGTCCATCACCATCTTTTTTTTTATTCCTTCCTTGCACGGTTTTTTTTTCATTGTATTTGTCCTTCTGCCTTTGCGAGCTCTAACAGAAGCCGAGAAAATTGTTCTGAAGGTACGAGCTTGCTTTCCGCTTTCTTACTGTTTTTTGTATGTATGGGTTTGCTGAGACTGGAAAAAAAATGGTGTTGTTATATCTGTCATTTCCTAGATTTCGTTTGTATTGTGGAATGTAGGAGATGGGTGTGCTAGAATATGTGCTTCTGAATATGGTTGGGCTCTTTTTGATATATTTGAATGCTTTACGATGAGCTTTCTAAAATCTGATGATCTTCAATCATCCAGAGTTTTAGAAAGAAAGTAAATCAAGGAACTTTAATTGTTTTTATTTTCAATCAAAATCATGACTGAACATATGATGTGCAGTCAGTATTGAATATCACTGAGCATACCTTTTGTGCGTTTTAGATTTTTTGTTAATGGGTATTTGGGTTCTTGATTTTGGATTTTGGAAGATGACCTTCGAGCTCATAAAATATTCCTCTTTTTATATGTGGGAAGTTTTCTGCATTTTCGTGTGTATTGTTTGTAACAAAAGTTATGTTGATATTCAGGTTTCAGAACCATTTTAACAAGTGCACCATTAAAATGGATTACGATGGTGGTCCTGAAGCAAGTGTATCTGTTAATGATGTTAATATTGATGACCCAGAAGTGGATTCGAGTAAAGTTGGCAATCTCGAAAGTGTCTCATCTGATGGTGTGATTGTTGGAGAATTAAGAAGTGTTGGCGAGGTTTTTACCAGAGTGGAATTGGATCTAGCGTGTGCTTCTGAGAAGTTAGTTAACTTAAATGTTCTTATGATGCATGTGGCAACCAAGGAGAGTGACTTGGAAGCCCTTTCTTCCAAGGAAGAGCAGACATCAGTTGATTCTGTTGAGAACGCTATGGAGTTCGTTCTCTTGTCTGGAATTTTGGACTCTGAGGTGAGTGAATTGGATAAACTCATGGCTATACTTCAAGCAGAGATCACCAATGCCCAGGGGCTGCTATCTTCATACACATGTTTGGGAGAAACTTTCGTGGTAGTAGAAGACAAGCTGTGTGACTCTGAACAATCTTTGAAGCAGTTGCAAGATCAGATCTCTGAAATAAGGATGCAATCCTTGAAGTTCCAGAGGACGTTTTCATGTTATGATGGAGAAGAAAATTGTGAGTTACAAGCGTGATTCAGTATATTGTTGTTGATTTTCTTGTCAATATCATATTTTTCTCATTCTTATTGTGCTTATGGATGATGGGGTTGCCAGGAAATTTTTAGGGTGTAGGGCAGACAGGATTTATAACCACCTTTGTGCAGGCATTTGTTTTTTTTTTTTTTCGCATTCTCATCCATGCATATGGACAGGGAATGCTAACAGAGGAGTGGTCTATTTAGAGGATGACAAGTTCTCAAGCATGAATGTAAAGATAAATATGCAAACTGTTGAACAGCAAAGACATATACTGAGGATGCTAGAGAAATCTTTAGCAAGAGAGATGGATCTTGAAAAGAAATTGACTGAATCAAAACAAATCGAAGAAGATATGAAACTGAGGCTGCTGTCTTCAGATCAAGAAGCATATTGCATGGAGGAGGAGGCAGCAGATGCTTGGGAGAGGTGGTTACAGGTGGATAATGCATCTGAGGTCCTTATGGGTATTTCAAAAGAATTACTGGGTAAACTCCATATTCTCCAGTTTAACTTAAACGGTTCAGTTCAGCGGGAAGCTGAACTAAGATTGAAGCTTGATGGTCAGGTTGAATCCCGAGAAAGCTCTTTGCGGAAACTTGAAAGCAGCAACGCAAAACTAAATAGCTTCCTTTTAGATCAGACAGCCGGCTTAAAAGACAGCTTGAAGGAAGCTGAAGATAAGTTAATTCTTGCTGATTCTGAGGCCTTTACTTTGAGAGAAAAGGTGAGTTCACTTGAGGAACAGCATACTGTTCTATGCTCAGACATTAGTGAATTGGAAAATGTCATCACAGATCTGAAAGAGAAAGTATCAAAAGCTGAAACTAGGGCTGAGAATGCAGAAGCCAAAAGCAAATTATTAACAGAGACTAATATGGAACTTAATGAAGAGATCGGACTTCTTAAAAGCACTGGCAGTGCCTCAGAGACGGTGGATTCACTTGAGAGGAAGTTAAGGGAATCTGATACCCAATTACAGCATGCAGTGGCATCTGCTGAAGCTAGCCTGGAGAAACAACACATGTTGTATTCTACAATCAATGACATGGAAAGTGTGATTAAGGATCTAAAGCAGAAGGTTTTAAAAGCTGAAAGTCGGACTGACAGTGCAGAGGACAACTGTATAAGATTATCAGAATCTAATGCACTGCTAACTGAGGAACTAAGCTTTCTGAGGGGTAGATTGGCATGCATGGAGGCATCTTTGCATCAAGCCGAGGAAGTAAAATTAGCTACTGCAACTGATATTGGTATTCGGTCCAAAGTTCTTACAAGTTTAGTGGTGCAACTTGCTTTTGAAAGAGAGCGCCTTCATAAGCAGGTATTCACTTATCATGTATTTGATTAATTTTTCAATTTCAGGTTGAATTTTTTATTGTGAGGTGGAAATGTCTTTTTGCTGTCTCTGTCACATTGCTCAGCGCCTGATTTCTTTTTCCTTTTGGTCATTTACCATTTAGCATGTATGTGAGAAATGTAAATCTCAGCTATATAATCTCAATAAGTGATAATGTACTACGCAAAACTAGGAAATTACTTAAATATGGATCATATGGATCACTAAACTTATGATCTCCATGCGTAGAAATGTCCACACACGTAACTGTGTAATACACAGAGTATACGTGCATGGGCATGCCCACATCCATGTTTTTTTCTGTTTGGCTCCACATACATGTTCATATGCATGTTTGTGTTGCCTTGGGAGCTTGGCTTAGATGACAAGAGTTGAGGTGGAGGTTTGGCAGGACGGGTATTAGGTCTAAATCTTGCCAAGCTAGAATATAGAAGGTATGCAGTTATGTCTTTATGTCTTTAAAGAGAGTTTGAAACCCAGTTAGCAGATATGATTTCTCTTCACTTCGGATTTAATGTTTCATCAAATTTTCTTTCGCAACTTTCGACGTTTGAAGGCAATTGTCTCTTTCTATCTAATTGAATTCCTCCCCATA